AATACAAGGAGGTAAATTCTTATTACCTAATGTCTACATTTTTTTTCTTAAACTGTTTACATTATCTGTTTTTAATTTGGTTATTTATCAACTATCTAAACAGCTTGATGTTGAAGTGCCACCTGAATTAGATGCTATAGTTGGTATGAAGATGCTTTTTAAGATCAACTTCAAACTGGCCCAAAAGATGGGTCCCAATTACCCATTCAATGTTGTTAGGGTTGTAAGGGATGAGCACTTGCTTAAGACCTATGCTGACAGATTTGTGGAGCATGAAGAGCAAGACTTAATGTCAAGGATGATTGAGGAGGAAACTAACACTGATGCAGTTTCTGGAGTAAGAATTTGAAACCCTAAATTATAGGTTTTTTTTTTTGGTTACTAATAGGTTTTTCTGCTGTTCTTAATTATAGGAAGATTCTATTGGAGTTGAAGTCAATAGTCCTGCCACTGTCCAGCCCTCGCAAAAGGAAGGAGAAGACAATGCAGAAAATGCTGGTGCCATTAAAAGGTCACTTTTGGATGAGTTTTCATCGTCCAAAAGTAGGAAATTGAATGACTCAGAAATAAAAAAGGAAAAGTTGTAATTCAGATTGATGGTTGAAAGTGGCTGTTGTTAGCCGGGCACTATCCAGACAATTTTTTTTTTTTTTTGTAATACTATGGTGTGACAATTTCTTTTTTTTCAGTTCTATGGATGGTTTTGAACTTTTATCTAATGCTTTTAGTAATTACCTATCTGTTTAGTACAATAAATGGTTGTGTATACTGCTATTATATCCTGTTTTGCAGTTTTCCTAATTTTCCTTTCAGGTTATTAGGAGTAAGGATGAAAGGTGTTAAAGTTTAGCAAAGATGCAAGGTGGCCAAGGTTTAAAAGGCAAACAGAATGGAAATAGTTTGGCAAGCAATTTAGAGTTTGAAGTTGTGTTTTTATATGTTCCTATTTTCAATTCTAAGACTCTATATCTAAATATATTGTGCCTGTTTTGCAGCAAAGATGCCAGGTGCTAAGGTTTCAGAAGGCAAACGGATGGAAATTCTTTGGCAAGTAATTTAGAGTTTTAAATTGTGTTTTTATATGTTCCTATTTCCAATTCTAAGACTTTATATCTAAATATATTGTGCCTGTTTTGCAGTTTTCCTAATTTTCCTAACAGGTTATTCAGAGTAAGGATGAAAGGTGTCAAAGTTTAGCAAAGATGCTAGGTGGCCAAGGTTTAAGAAGGCAAACAAGATGGAAATAGTTTGCCAAGCAATTTAGACTTTGAAGTTTAGGGTTTAGGGTATATTTTCCTATTTCCAATTCTAAGACTTTATATCTAAATATATTGTGCCTATAAAATAGAGTTTGTTTCAATTACCTATTTGCACAATCTTCTTTAACTCTGTTTGAAATTCTAATATGAAGATATGTAAATATACTGTGCTAAAAAAAGGTGTTAGTTCCAATTACCTATTTGCACAATCTTCCTTTACTCTGTTTGCATCTCTCGAAATCAATTGATGTTCAAGCTGGAATCCATCAATGTTTTCTAGCACATTTAAAAAGAAATTAGATAACAGCAACTAAAAGAAGAGTTTTTTTATTCATTTACATTACTGTTTTAACAAAAAAAACCAACAATCCTTTAAACTGAAAAATGTTTTGATCCTAAACATATCTGACTTTTATAGCAATATAGAATAAAATAATTTAACAAATACCAGAGGTCAAATAGCATACAAATAAAAATAGATTAACATTGTCGATACTCGAGGACCATTTGGAGAACAAAGACAGTTTTCAAGGTTTGTATTATTAATAAAATAAAGTTGTTTCTTCCAATAAAAACAAATTAAAGAATCTTATGATACATACAAGAACATTATACCAGTCTTAAGCAAAGAGTAAAAAAAGCGAATTTAAATTACTGTGTTCACTAATAAATGAGAATCTGCTTAACAAAAAAAAAGTTTATCATACACAAAGGTCACTTATATGCTTATATAGAATAAAATAATGCACCAAAGTCAAGATATCAAAGACACTACAATTAAAAATATATGAAGTTGTTCGATAGTCGAGGACCATTTATTGAACAAGGACATCTTACTGAATGTGTGTAATATTAAAAAACCAAAGTTGTTGCTTGCAATAAAACACAGTTAAAGTATATTATGATATATACAAAATAGTTATACCAGTTTTGACCAAAGAGCAAAAAAAAAAAGTTATTAACATTACTGTGCTAACATTACAGAATTGTATACTTATATAGAAAAAAACAATGCAGCAAAGTAAAAACCAGTAATGGAAAAGTATTGCGTTACAAATTAAAGTGAACAGACTTACAAACTATGCAAGTATATGCATACAAACTAATCTAACTACAGTCAAGTAAAGAGGAAGTCTTAACCTATTTGCTTATATCACCATATTGCTTTTAGTGGTCTTTGATTGATTGGTTTTTTTCTGACGGATGCTCTTCAATTTCTTCAAAGCTTGAATTATTTAATTCTAAAAAGAATAACAAAAAAAAAAAATTTGTTAGAATCTGTGTTCAGAATATTTACAAAGTAAAGTGAACAAAGTTACAAACTATGCAAGTATATGCATACAAACTAATCTAAAGACAGACAAATAAAAATAAAGTCTTAACCTATTTGCTTATATGACCATAATGCTTTTAGTGGTCTTTGATTGCTTGGTTCTTTTCAGCTTGCTGCATTTCAATGTGTCACAAGCTTGGACTATTCCATTCTAAAAAAAATACCCCAAAAATTTAAAATTGTTAGAATGTGTTCATAATATTTCATAAGTAGAATCAAATAATTAATGTATGTGTTCAATGGTTCTTACAACAGACTTACAAACTGTGAAACTATAACAGTGCAAAGTCATCTAAACTAAGCCAAATCAAGATAGAGTCTTAACTTATTTTCTGATCAGGCCATAGTGATTCTTTTCTGCTGGCTGCTCTTCAGTAGCTCTAAAAAGAAAAAAATAAACAAGGTTAGTATTTCTGTCCAGAATAAATAATAACATCAACACATACATTGAATAAATTGGCAGCCACATTTTGAAAGAAATTAGATAACAGCATTGCAATTCCAGAGTTGTAAATTAATTAACATTGTTCGGTTAACTAAAAAACTGAAACTATATTTTAATTGGCCATAACATAGAAGTGAATACACTGCCATACATTGCCAAGGCAAGGGAATTATTGTCCTGTTAAGTATTAGTTAATCATTCTTAGGAAAAGAAACACATTGCCTAAACATTAAATAGAATTGATGGGCAGCTATCATTACTATTAAGAGAAAACTCTTCATCAGTTCCAATCCTATTTTCAAAATCAAGGGCAAAAGTAAAATAAACTACAATGAACCCATCTAAACAAGGATGCCCCATCTAACTACCAACACAACCTGCCAGTTTCATACCCCAGTAAAATAGACAAATCACATCTACATTTTCAAGTAAAAACAATAGACAGAGCAATGAGGAAAATCACTAAATCAACAATTATAGGCATCAAAAGGAAACCAAGTGATGAAAATAAAGGTAAGTTCGAAACTTATCTTTTTAATACTTCAAATTAAGCTTCATTATAGCATCCTCTTCCTGTGCGATTCTGTTTATGCTCTCTGTCTCCTCAAAAAATTCCAGTATGTTCATGAAAAACAACATGATAAAGTCGAAAAAAAGGTTAGGGTTTGTGTGAATAATAATATAGCTATACCATTTTGAAAATGATTGTTAAACAGTTAAGAGTAATTTCTATTTGGTGTTTTTAGAGCAATTTCTAAAAGAATACGGTTTAGAACACTAATGGCTATGAATCATACAAATCTGAAATCAATAAATTGGACTATGAATTATCGATATGCATGCGTAGATCCAGAAATGTAGATCAATTTTAGAACAAAGAACAATGAAAAGTACGAAACCCTAAACAAATTTTGTGTAGATTTAAAGCATACTAACCTTAGAATTGGAGAATTAGCTTCACTGAAACGCGATTGCCACCATTTACCGTTGTTGAACACTACGATCTTTCACAGAAAGGAAAGATCGGGATTGTGTATTGAAAATCGGATCGATGCTAAGCGAGACCGGACTACAATTTCTCCGGAAATAATGTTCAATAAGAACAGTTGAATCGGAGATTACGACTTAGGACTGATCTAGATTTAGGCTTGACAGAGAAATATAGGAAGATCGTTTGGAATTGCTGAAGAACAGAGCGGTTCAGACATGAGAGAAGGAGAGGTCAAGCGAAGGAGAAGGCTTATCAGCCTCCTTCCTCTTCTCTCAATATTCCGACCGGAAAAACAATAATAATTAATATATATATATATATATATATATATATATATATATATATATATATATTATGTGCGGCAAATTATATATATACAGAAAATATATATATTTAAATAGTTTATACATATAAACTAATAAATAAATATATAGATATGTATATAGTTATTTATTTATATATTTAATTTTGAATTGTTATGTGTAATTAATTAGATATATAATCTTAACAATTCTAATGGTATTTATTGTGGACAATGTTATACTTAAGAGTTTGTCAAATAAAATTAGTGTTACTATATAGCCATTACAATTTCAGGTTATATATATATATATATATATATATATATATATATATATATATATATATATATATATATATATATCACAATTAGATTATCCGTTAGGTGTGTTTAGTGGCACAATCACTAATTTGTAAATAATTGTTAGGTAAATCTTGAACAATTCGAAATTAATTATGTACTGTTAGTTGTGTTATGTGTAATTCATTTTTAGGATTTTTAATTATTTGGATTATTATTTATTTTAATGTTCTATTCTAATTCGCAGAAAATCAATTGGGCAACTCATCATCAAGGAATAATTCTGCTCAAGGAAAACAACAGCCTTCGGCAAGAAATCCTTCCCGCATTCCTCTAGGAGGATGTTTGTCGCAAAACATCACACCCTTGAGTAACATGACTAACGGTAAATCAACTAAGTTCAATTGATATAGCATCATTGTGAATTTAAAAAACCTTTTTATTGGTCTACTTATTATGTAAACCTTATTTAAAACAATTACAATTTACACTTATAGGCTAGCGTAATGAATAGCATTAGGTGTGATTAAATTTTAAAATGTCAATTGTTGTACTTACTGTTGTTTTTATCGTCTTTTAATTGATTCTTTTTTCCTCACAGCAAATAATTTTTGCAAATCATCATTAATGACTAATGCTGGTCAAGGGAAAGAGCAACATACGCCAAATAATCGAACCCAAAATCCGTTGGGATGTGGTTTGTCCCCAGATATCACACCATTCAGTAACATCAGTAATGGTAAATCCCAATATATGAATTGATATACATTAATTGTTAATTTAAATGTCCTTATACTGTTAATTGTTCGAAGCTGTTTGTCAAATTAAATGTTATAATTGTAATGTAATTTATGTTTAATATCAATTTCTAATTAATTGATTAGGTGTAATTAATTGATTACATTGTACTTAATGATATATACTTTTAGATTTGAATTGTATTTAAGTTAGAATGTGGACCGTCGTCTACATAATTCTATTCGATTACGTATTAAAGTTGTGCAATTGTAAAATTATTTATGTTATGTGTACTTAATTGTTTCGAGTTATAATTATTGGAATTAGTTCTTAATTTAATGGTATATTTTCAATCACAGCAAATCATTTCGGTTGCTCATCTTTTACGAATAATGCTGCTCAAGATCAAGACCAACGGACGACAGCTACTCCTTACACTAATCCCCAGCGAGGATGTTTGTCTGAAAATATCACACCATTGAGTAACATCACTACCGGTAAATGCCCTAAGCTGAATTGCTATAGACTCTTTGTGAATTTAATTATAATGTAACTCATGGTACATATAAGTATGTGTGGAATTGTAACTTCACTAATTTTTGCATGATATATGATTTATTTGATAATATCAATTTCTAATTTTTTGTTCAAATAGTTATATTTCTTTTGTTATGTGTAATTTAATTATAATGTAACTCATAGTACATATAAGTATGTGTGGAATTGTAATTTCACTAATTTTTTGCTGATATATGATTTATTTGATAATATCAATTTTTTGCTGAAATACACTTTTTCACTTTTATTCCTATTTATGGTGCACACATTATTGTGGACCATGGTCTATCATGTGATTTTTCCAATAAAATATAATAATACTTATACAGTTAAATTACTATTTCATATTCTAGGGTAGCATAAGTTATAATGTTAAGTGTATTTAATTTATAATATTAAGAATTCTATCCTTTTTATGTTAGTACGTGCTACCAACTTATTTTTTTATAGTCCCATAAAATATAGTGGTCTCAATTAATTGTCACTTTAAATATTGTTATTCTTTAAATTTGTCTAATATTATGTATGTGTACAGTACGGCAGTGCAATACACAAATAGGTCCAAGCAATTGCCAGAAATTTTTTATTGTAGATAAACAAAATCCGGGTTCGACGATAACACAAGATGAATTGGCAATTCGTAAACCATTAGATAAATATGCAATTGTCGAAGACCATGTAACAACCAGAGACTTGCTACCTGCCTTTGAAGATGAAAGTAACAATACAATGAGCGATGTCCCAAATCAGAACATAGATGGTAAAAAAATAGTCCCCTGTGGTGTTTCAAACAAATATAAGTAAAGTACATATGGTCACTCTTTCAATATTAAAAATAATTTTTAAATGTTTTTTAATTTCAGATGCAAATATATCGGGTAACGCTGTTAGGCAGACCTCGGAAATTGGGACATCCTCTGGTCCACAACATGGTATGTATGTTTGTTTTATACGTGCCTGAAATATAAATCAGTATTTAAATTTGTATATATTTGGTTTCAGGTCAATACTGCGATTTTGGTGATGCAACGAATCAGTGCGTCCATTGTGGGGCTCTGTTTTGGTTTGAAGAAAGGAAGAAGAATTTGTCAACAAAAGCATCGCCACTGTTTATGTTGTGTTGCAACAATGGGAAGATCAAATTGCCGGATAATAAGTTGCCACCAAAAGGTATATTTGATCTCTTTTTCGGCAATGACGAAATATCAAAAGAGTTTTTACACAACATTAGGACCTACAACAACATGTTCTGCTTCACATCCATGGGTGGAAAAATTGACAAGAACGTGAACAAGGGGGGAGCACCTCCAATTTTTCGATTAAGTGGTCAAAACTACCACCTAATGGGCACTTTACTTCCAGAACAAGGCAAAGAACCTCATTTTGCCCAGTTATACATATACGACACGACAAATGAAAGGAACAACCGTATAAATGCTGTGAGGTAAAGAAGTTTCCGTAATTACACATTAAATACTATTTTTTATCTAAATAAATATCAATTCCAAGTATATGTTGTTGTAGGGGTAGTGGTGACCAAGATGACATTCATGTAGAAATAGTGAATGTCATTCAGAAAGACCTGGATGAAAATAATGTCTTGGTTAAGTCTTTTCGCATGGCTATGTCTGAGTTGGATATTATCCATGCGCCGAAGTAAAAATAAAGTTGTTGGGAAAACGAACTAGAGATGCGAGGACATATAATCTGCCTCAAGTTTCTGAAGTAGTAGCTTTAATTGTTGGAGATCTGGATACAAGTATTGGAGAGCGTGATATTATTGTTCAATCGAAGGGTGGCCACCTACAGAGGATTACTGAATTAAATCCTTCATACTTACCACTGCAATACCCTATTTTGTTTCCATATGGCGAAGATGGTTATCGGGAGGACATTGCATTCGCCGACGTAGTAGGCTGGCGCTCTTCTGGTGGTAGACAGAGGATTAGCCCCAGGGAGTTTTTTTGCTACCGCATACAATCTAGACAGTCAGCTCCGAGTACCATATTATTTGCCAAACGGTTGTTCCAACAGTTCGTTGTAGATGGCTACACAATGGTTGAGTCTGGAAGACTAATTTATATAAGGACACACCAAAAAAGCCTAAGGTGTGAGAGTTATAGTGGATTGACTGATGCTTTGACGAGGGGTGAAATAAGTCCTGCAGCCCAAGGTCGTAGAATAATACTACCTTCGAGTTTTACGGGTGGTGCTAGATACATGATACAAAACTACCAAGATGCAATGGCAATATGTAGATGGATTGGATACCCAGATTTATTTATAACTTTTACATGCAATCCGAAGTGGCCTGAGGTGCAACGCTTTTTAAAAGATCAAAGGTTGAAGCCAGAAGACCGGCCGGACATAATTTGCCGCTTATTCAAGATTAAGTTGGATGCTTTGATAGCTGACTGTCGAAAGAATCAACTATTTGGCCCTGTGGCTGGAGGTAATATTTTGTTTTTTTTATTTTAAATCAATTTATCTAAATAAATTTTAGGTAATTGCTTAACATTATTATGTTTATTTGTATGTTGTTACAGTCATATATACAATTGAGTTTCAAAAGCGAGGTCTTCCGCATGCTCATATATTACTTTTTATGGAGAAAAGTAAAGAAGTTAGGCAAGTTCTCACTCTAGACAACATAATTTCCGCAGAGATTCCGGATGAAAAGAAAGATGCTGAGTATTACCAAGCGATAGAGGAATTTATGATGCATGGTCCATGTGGAAAAGCGAGGACAAATTCTCCATGCATGGTAAATGCGCGATGCTCTAAACATTTTCCTAAGAGATTTGTTGATAGTTCTACGTTTGATGACGATGGTTACCCGGTATATAGAAGGAGAGACAATGGCAGTGTAGTTACAAAGAACGGTATCGCCTTGGACAACAGGTATGTGGTACCGCACAATAGATATTTATTACTCAAGTACAAGGCTCATATAAATGTCGAGTGGTGCAACCAATCAAGGTCAATCAAGTACCTGTTCAAGTATGTTAACAAGGGTCATGATCGAGTAACAGCCGAATTTTACAAAACAGGCAATGATGACGAGAATGGCAAAGCAGTAGATGAGATAAATATGTACTATGACTGTAGGTACATATCCCCGTGTGAAGCGGTCTGGCGTCTGTTTGGTTTTGATATACAACTTCGTGCGCCTTCGGTAGAGAGGTTAAGCTTTCACCTACCTAATCAACAGAGTGTGATATTTGCAGATGATGATGCGGTTGAGAACATTGTGAATAGACCTACGATAGCACAGAGCATGTTTTTAGAATGGTTTGAAGCTAATAAAACATACCCCGGTGCCAGAGAGCTTACTTATGTTGAGATGCCAACAAGATTCGTTTGGAAGAAAGACCTTAGAAAATGGCAGCCACGAAAGAAAGGGTTCTCCATAGGACGTATATTCTATGTCCCACCAGCTACTGGTGAAATCTTCTATTTGAGGTGTTTGCTCAACAAAGTCCGCGGCCCTAAAAGTTACGAAGATATTAGGACTGTAAATGGAGTACAATATGACTCATTCCGAGATGCGTGTTATGCAAGAGGTTTAGTTGATGATGACAACGAATATGTTGATGCAATAGATGAAGCCAGTTATTGGGCGTCAGCGGAACAATTGAGGAGATTGTTTGTGACATTACTAATGAGCAGTTGCATGGGGAAACCGGAAATAGTTTGGCACGCCGTTTGGCAACATCTATCAGACGATGCCCAATTCAATATCCGTACACAACTGCAGAACAGAGGTAATCGTACATTTTTAAAAGAATATTAAGTCAAATTTAACGTATTTGAGCTATAACAACAAATGTTTATATATATGTATGCAAAGTTTGTGTTGACCGATTCGCAGAAAATGAACTTTGCTTTAGTTCAGATTGAAAAGCTATTATCTAATCATGGTAAGAGTTTGAAGGACTATCCTGAGATGCCAACGACCAATTTTGGTGCGTTAAACATTATTGCAAATAGATTGATTCAAGAAGAATTATCATACGATCGTGGAGAACAAGAGAAAGAGAATCAAGAATTGGTAAGGCAGTTAACAGACGAACAAAGGGCAATATACAATGAAGTGTTAACTGACGTCGATTGCCAGCAAGGTGGGTTATTCTTCGTATCTGGTTATGGAGGGACAGGTAAGACTTTCTTGTGGCGAGCACTTTCTTCCGCATTAAGGTCTAAGAGTCAAATAGTTTTAAATGTTGCTTCTAGCGGCATAGCTTCGCTGTTATTACCTGGTGGTCGTACGGCGCATTCCAGATTTGCTATACCGATATCTGTTAATGAAGATTCCACGTGCAACATAAGGAACGGCAGTGAACTGGCGGAACTTCTTGTGCAAACAAAGCTGATAATATGGGACGAAGCCCCAATGATGCATAAATTCTGCTTTGAAGCTTTGGATCGAACTATGCGGGATTTGATGCGCTTCGTAAATCCAAGGAGTTCTGATATGACATTCGGTGACAAAACAGTTGTTTTGGGTGGCGATTTCAGGCAAATTTTACCAGTCATTCCCAAGGGTACTAGACCGGATATAGTTCGTGCGAGCATTATCTCATCCTATCTATGGCAATCCTGTAAAGTCTTGAGGCTGACTAAGAATCTACGCTTGAAAAGTGTTCAATCAGAATCCGAGTGCAAGGAGATCGAGGAATTTGCTAAATGGATAGCTAATATAGGTGACGGAATGATTGGGTGTCAACTGGATGGGGAGTCAGAGATTACTATTCCAGAAGATTTGTTGTTAAAGTGCGAAGATGACCCTATTGCTACAATTGTTGATAGCACTTTCCCCAATTTCCGACTGGGACTTGCCGATTTGTCATATCTTAATCATAGTGCAATTTTAGCTCCAACATTGGATGTGGTAGATGCCGTTAACCAATACATGAATGACCATAATCCCGCTGAGAGTAAGACATACCTGAGTTGTGATTCTGTGTGTAAGTCAGATGCCAATGTGGACATGTTAGCGGATTTGCACACTCCGGAATTCTTGAATGCATTGAGATGTTCTGGAGTCCCAAATCATGCGTTGACATTGAAAGTTGGATCACCTGTTATGCTGTTGCGAAATATTGATCACACATTAGGATTATGCAACGGTACAAGGTTGATTGTTACAAGGTTGGCTGACCATGTGTTGGAAGGCCAAATCATGTGCGGTACAAATGCAGGAACCAGAGTATTGATTCCTAGGATGTCTCTTACACCGTCAGATCCTAGATTGCCTTTCAAATTTCAACGAAAGCAATTTCCCTTGATGCTATCCTATGCCATGACAATCAACAAAAGTCAAGGACAAACGCTTGCTAAAGTTGGGTTGTTGTTGAAAAAACCGGTCTTTAACCATGGACAACTATACGTAGCTGTTTCAAGAGTTAGTAACCCTAGGGGTTTGAAAATTTTGATTTGCGGGGAAAGTGTATCATGTCTTAGTACGACTAAAAATGTTGTGTACAAAGAAGTTTTCAATAATGTATAATAACAATTAACAATTTGTTTCAATAATACGTTTCTTATTAGGTTTCTTATTCTTATTATATTATACGTCATATTTTATGTACTATATAGGTAGAGTCTCTTAATGTATAATAAAACTACTATTTTCATCAATGTCGAATAAAATCACTACTTTTCATTTCACATTTTTAAAGGTCTAATAACTATATTCTATACTGTATATATATCATACTATTACGAATTCAAACTATATATTTTTTCATCTAATTATATTATACTGTATATGTATCATAATATATATATAGCCGCGCATCGCGCGGGTGCACCTACTAGTAGTAGTAATAGTAGTAATAGTAGTAATAGTAATAATAGTAATAGTAATAGTAATAGTAATAGTAATAGTAATAGTAATAGTAATAGTAATAGTAATAATAATAGTAATAATAATAATAATAATAATAATAATAATAATAATAATAAGAAGAAGAAGAAGAAGAAGAAGAAGAAGTGAAATGTCATTTTTACCCTCATATTTAACAACCCTAACACTTACTTAATGGAAAGGGGAAAAAATAGCCACTTCAAAAATAATTGAGGGGGATAAAGTGGTTACACAAACAACACAGGGGGAAAATGTACTATTAGTAAACAACACAGGGGGAAAAAGTGTCATTTTCCCTTGGAAGTTTGCCTTTACAAATTTTAAAAATGGTTCAAAACCCTCTTCATATTCACCACTGATCCCGATTCAACTTTTATTCACCACAAGTTAATTTAAATCGCAAAAAAATTAAATGAACTTGAATTAAAAATGAATAAATTCATCTACAATAAGCAATAAATAAAAAATTCCTTCAACAGAGATAAGACGAACTACTGAACGAACTTAAGCATTTTAGCAACCAAAGCTTTCAAGCATTATCAATTAAGCACTCTCTCTAAAAGTATTTAACATATCAACCTTCAACTATTCCTTGAAGTGAAACATACTACTCTTGGTAGAAGAACAAAATTTGGTAACTAAGTATTGTAAGGGGACTGCACGACTAATCTTATGATGAATTGAAGAAAGATCGCATTGTGCTAACAAGGGAACTTTATAGAATATCCTTGTGAGATGTGAAGTAACAAGGGGACTTTGTACGGAGATCTTTGTGAAAAATTAAGTAACGACAAGTCTTTATAAAAGATTTTTGTGAAGGGGTCTATGATCATGGTGAGTTTTTAGATTTTTGTGGCCCTGCTCTGATAAATAAATAAGGTCCTATCAAAATCACAATCTTTAAAATCAATATCGTAATTTTTTCTATAATAATAATAATAATAATAATAATAATAATAATAATAAGAAGGTGGTAAAATGCTACCGTGCACAAAGAAAAAGCCAAAAGACATATTATGAAATAAATTACAATAATAATAATAATAATAATAATAATAATAATAATAATAATAATAATAATAATAATAATAATAATAATAATAGTGTGTGCATACTCGCAACGCAAAAGGGTTAAAAAAAAAAAAATAATAATAATAATAATCCTATATATAATAAAGCCATATGGTCTTGTCAAAATTAAATGGTGATCATCAACATTTAATTTTCACAAGACCATAATAATATTGTTAATTATAATAACAATAACAATAATAATAATAATAATAATAATAATAATAATAATAATAATAATAATAATTGCAATAATAATAATGATAATAATTTTCATTCACAGTTTCTAATATATATATATATATATATATATATATATATATATATATATATATATATATATATTTATTATATTTCAATTTCTACTGGCAAATTATTGTGTGAATGATGGTCCACATAATTGTAGGGATCATGAATATCAAATACATTTTTAATATATTAAAAATACATTATTTTTTTTTATTGAAAGTACCTTACATACATATATAATGTACCCTTAGTAATTTAAAATATACTTTTTATTTCATGCAACCCCAAAGTTCATAAGTTTGAAATTAATATATGGCATAGCTAGGCGGCCTAATATTTAAGATTATTGATGTGCATATTGAGGACTACGGAGACAAAGATGCGTTATTCGTGGATTCATCGGATACTATCCAACAACACTCTCCAACTTAATTGACATGAAGTAGGCTTAGTAACATTACGATTATATTCTCGAATTATTAGTTCTCATCTTTTATTGATTACACACTTAATTCGATAATATTTGGAAGAAAAAATCAATGTTCGAACTAAGATTGTGATTTTGGTCTTTAAAGGTCAATTGTACGTTGCTACATCTAGAGTTAGAAATCTCAAAGGTCTAAAAATTTTGATCCGTAGTGACTCTAAAATTGTAATTCAATTACTATTGTAGTTTACTAAGTTCTTAAAAATTTGTAATATTAAATACTATGTACTAAATTTTTAATATAGTTTAAGATTTGTAGTAATCACCCACCTTAAATATTATTTTAATTGTAAATATATTTATGTTCATAATTTTATCATAGGAATTCACACATAATAATTATTAAATAACAAAAATTTTATATATGAATAAACCTCATATAAGGTATATTTCTATAACATATTTTCCGTGCATCGCACGGGACAAATACTAGTAATAATAATAATAATAATAATAATAATAGTGTGCGCAAACTCGCAATGCAAAAGGATTTTAAAAATAGGGAGATGTCCAAAATTAGAGTAGCACACAAGTTTCAAACTTCTAACCTCCAAGTTAAAATACAATAAACACGCATTTGTACCATTTCTTCATAGAGCCTTTTAAGTTTAATTGAAAACTTTTCGTTTTTATTTCTAAACTAGCTAAGTAAAAATTAAATATTGACCCTCTAAAATTTGGGCCCTGTGCTGTAGCCTAGCTTGCACAGCCTAAAATCCGGCCCTGCTGATGATCTCACTTGTATATATATTAACAAGTTATCACACGCGCATTGCATGAATAGTTTAATGCTCAATGTGTATTATTAAATTAGTGTTTCAGAATTTATCAAAGTATCATTCGGTATTTTGTCGTATATCAATGCAATATTATCAAATTTTCTATAAAAGTAAATATTTCAAGAATCCATAAATATGACATGTGGTAGAAATATTTGATTAACTGGTGTGTAATAGCAGTTTTTTTAGGGAAATACCCTCATTAGATAGTACCCAAGCATAGTTTTTGCAACACAAAATCCTATTAATTTTACCAGTTTGGCGTGACCCATGCTTCCTCTTGTTGCCACTCTCGACCACAAATGAATTCTTGATTAATTAACCAAAGTTCTTGTTGCCACTCCCGACCACAAATGAATTCTTGATTAATTAACCAAAGTTCTTGTTGCCAAATGAGTTCTTGATTAATTAACCAAAGTTCATGTTAAATTTTATATTGTATTTTTTTTAATACACTCTAACATATTAATAGTATATGTTCAACCATTATGCCAATTTTGATTGGGATGCGATTCTAACCTAAGACCTTTCTTATAAAAATCAATGTGTAAGTTAAGAATAATAAATAAGACTAACAATTAAACTAACATTTTTAGTTTCCGTAATTTTATTGATTCTTATTAAGTTTGTAGATTAGGTATATTAATATACATTAATAGATTTTTTTTCCTTAGTATTAAGGAAACTATTGAATTAGAGGGATTATACATTTATACCACCCATTATATTAAACCACTATTATAACCCTCTCTCCACTCTTTACTTTTTCGAAAACCAAAGGGAATATATTAAATCAAGGCATAACCAAATCCGAAATATAAGGAGGCGGAACAGTGTCCCAAACTCTAAGGACAGATGAAGAATCAGTCGCCCGTGCTAACGCGTGAGTTACATGATTCGCTGACCTCTTAACATGGTGGACAGTGACGTCCCCAATGTCTCTAGCAATACCTAAGCAATGCTTAACAACAGATCCAACATACGAAAAGTCATTACACGAAGAATTAAAACTATTGCAAAAATTTAATAGACTTAATTTAATGTCTCCACTCTTTACTTAATTACTACTTTCGCATCCTGCCATTTATATTCAAAAACGATCTAGACAACTTCAAATGACTTCAAACGTTTTAACCAATTCCGTTGTGTTAATTTCACCTAAACAAAACTAGTAAAATACTTTCAATGTGCACACTCTATGCAATTTTTTAAACTGATAAAAGTCTATTCAACCCCACCATTTCTATATTTTTAACTAGTGTAGGACGAAAATAAAATATATACCATTTATTATTAGACTATATATAATAATACAACCCACAAACAGCAAACCATTGATTGCAAATCCCTATCCTTTTTAAGGATCTCGACTGCCATAATTAAAGCTTTTGCCAACTAGTATTGAAGCTAATTAAAACATATAGTAGTTTAATCTATTACTCTGTATATTATAATATTTTATTTATATATCAAACAACATATGGTTGTCATAATATGTATATGAAGAAGACATCATCATAGATTATGCTATTCATATTAGGATTGAAGTATAGATTTGTGTGTGTATATAATATATATATGTTTTTAATTTGATCCACTATAAAGCTAAGTGAATTATTACGATTTTATTATTTTAATCTTCAAAAAAAATGGAGAAAAGAATCACTTTTGTTAACTTGATTTTTTTAAAATTTTTGAATGAAAAATAAAAATTTTAAAAAAATTTGTGTTCACAGAACATGGGATTGTTGAAGATGAGAATGTGTGCGCATTTTGCGGTGAGGAGAAAGAGTTGTCGATTTTAATTTGTACACTACGCAGACGCAGTAGAAAGTACGAATTGAAGCTTTGGCCTTTGAGGGGATTGATGCGCTTCCATTATCAGATTCGTATTTGCCTCGCCCTCATGCCTGCCCGCCTTCATCATACATGATTGAACCAACATTATTATTATTTTTTTTATTATTATTCTTGTTGTTGTTGTTATAATTATTAAGGTAAATCACAAGTCAGATTCTTAGTGTGATTCAAATTCTCACACTAGAACTGAAATAAGACTTTAGGGTGATCGATCGAATCAATTGAGTTAGCCTCGCAGGTTGCAAAACATTATTTACATGCCATCTTATCTCAATTGAAGAGCAAAAAGAAAAAGAA